AGGGCATAGAGATACCCTTAGTCTGTGGAGATTTTAAAATCTGAGGTATCACTTTCTCCCTCTCAGCAATAAGAGAAAGTGTTGTATTAAGCATGCAGCACAGACTGAAAAATAAGCAATTTTTGCCTCTTACCTTACGTACGTTTATGGAACTTCAACTTAAATTTAGATAACATATTTTCCTTAATAGAAGTAAATAAATATTCTTGATATGGCAAGGTTTGTTTTTGTTTTTAACAGGTATTCTCGACAGTTGATGGTTAGCAGTTAACTGCCTAGTATTTAAATAACTTGTTTTGTTTAATAATGTCTCGTTTGAGCCGGCGACAGCTACAAATTAAAAACGTCAGAAAGAAGCAAGGACATAAATATGTCGTCTTAAAAATAATAGATGTTTTATGCCTATTAAATGTATTAATAATTTTTTCAGTATGGGAATAAATTTACACAAATGTGGCTGTTTTAGATGCGAAAAATAACCATAATTTAATAGCGTATTTAAAAAGAACATGTTTGCCACAACTATTGCTTCCAAAATTACATGATATACATTATATATATGCGTATGTGCATTGTATGTGAATGCTTAATGTATGCGTATATATACACTTTTATATATATATATATATATATATATATATATATATATATATATATATATATATATATATATATATGATTAAATAAAATAGTTGGAAAACTATAGATTTACAAATTTAATAATTTTCGAGATTTAACTTCATCTGGAATTGTGAGAAGAATACTGCAGAATTCTTTAGAGTTTGAAATTCTATGTTTTTTTGTTTATATTAGTGGGTAGACGTCACGTGTTCATTTTTGTTCATTTCCTGGTCTTATATGGAAGTTAACAGGTTACGTGTTTGTGTATAGGTTAGGTGAAGGTGTGTGTTCAGTATGTAAACAAAGAAGATACACATACAGAACTTGAGTTTCTATTACGGACGTTTATTTTTTTATGGCGACTCTAGTGAAATGTTCTCCATGTCTCTTCGGTATGTTCGTGTTCCTTTTGGGTTCAGAAGTTACGATAATAATGTTTGAAAAGGTCGAGTTACTGTCAGCTTTGCGCTGAGTTGGAACGACCAATTCACGTACTTCATGTGTAAGGCTGCCGACACACGTCCGAACGATGTCGTTGGAAAGCGGGAAAAAGAAATATTCTGTCCTTTCCGGAAGTGGGGGTCATAATATCGTGCAATTGACCAGAAACGCTTTATGGTTTCTTTATAACTTGAATTATGGGGAAATTATGTTTTTCTATATTATTATTATTTTAATTATTGATTTTATTTCATTTTCCTACGTGTATCAATTTTTTTCTGTGTCGGGTATCAGGTGTTTAGCTTTTAACGCCTATGGTGGTCGTTTTCTAAGCGTTGGGGCACACACTGATGATCGAACTCACCATTCAGTCGTAATTGTTTTAGAGACACCATTATCGCACGTCGAAGTGTCCTACCTCATGGCGTCTATATGTATAGGTTGAATATATGAAATGTTAGCGCTATTTAATTATGTATTAAAAATTGGGTATACTAATGCATTTGACAAGTATTGTATGCCGGTAATTTATTAGTATTGCATCTAGATATTTTCTTCATAATAGATTGTGTTCATTTATTTTTTTTTTTTTTATTAAAGCAACATTTTTTTCAGAAACAAACCGTCCAGGTGTCTTCCTTTAAGAGTATGGCGTATTTTATTTCTATGTTTATCTAGAGGGTCTCTTCTATATTCAGAATTACGAGTCTTTACATAGCTCAATATCTCGCCTATATATTTCTTATGATTTGGCAAACAGCGTAACTTATATATCTAAGCCTCTGATCGTCCTGGGTAAGACATTAAACTACATCCGCGTCCTGGGTAAGACGTTAAACTACATCAGCGTCCTGGGTAAGACGTTAAACTACATCCAGCAGCAAGGCCTCTGATCAGGAGGTTTTCAAGAGTGTGAAACCACTTCTTAATTGCTGGTGTTCCCAGGTCCACCCTGATCCGGGGTGGTAGCACCTGTTAGGGTCCCAACTATAGGCAAATAGTTAACTATTACCAGCAATACTTTTTTGAAAAAAATTATTACCAGCAATACAATTTTGAAGGAAATATATTACCAGAAACAGATTTTTAACAAAACAAAATATTACCAGCAATAAATATTTTTGTCAGTATCAAATAACCCATCGAGATTGATATGCCATAAAACAAAATAAACCAAACCAATCTAAACCAAAGAATACATATTCTATTCATACGAATCTATCCTACAAATATTGTCGGCATTAAATAACCCATTGAGGTTGATATGCCGTAAAACAAAATAAACCAAACCAAAGAATACACATTCTATTCATATGAATCTATCCTAAAAATATTGTCTGCATTAAATAACCCATTGAGGGTGATATGCCGTAAAACAAAATAAACCAAACTAATCTAAACCAAAGAATACATATTCTATTCATACCAAGCTATTCTAAAAAAATTGTCGGTATTAAATAGCCCATTGAGGTTGATATGCCGTAAAACAAAATAAACCAAATCAATATAAACTAAAGAATACATATTCTATTCATACGAATCTATCCTAAAAATGTTGTCGGCATTAAATAACCTATTGAGGTTGATATGCCGTAAAACAAAATAAACCAAACGAAACCAACCCAAACCTCCGATGTGTTGCTATTGATTCTCTTATCTTTTAGTGGCAGCTCGTTAGTTATAACTTTAGTGTCTGGGATAGTAACATAATTTTTAGTCTTTAAGTATTTAGTTGGCAGAATTATAACCTTAGTATGTTTGGTGCTGGAAATACTTATTTTTCTAGTCTTATAGATTTTGTATGCTTTTCATCTTGGATGAAATGATGTGTAGTAGGGAAGTCTTTGCAATACCATTTTCGTCTTCATCGAAGCTAGGGTTCTCCAACCTGGGCGATATCGCCAATCGGTAGGCTTTTCAACTGTGAACAACTGAACAGAAAATGTTGGGCAATTGGAATTTTTGGTAGGTGATACAGAATTTTGAATATTAAAACGTATTTCAACATATGCTACCCGAAAAAAATATTCAAAGGAGATATGTGAAGAAAAAACAAAACACATGAAGCTAAATGGACATTACTGGGTCACATTTCTAGATGAGATATAAATATTAATACGATCAGCGATTGTTTTTAGTATTTTGTATTGTTTTCAGAATGGTCGTTGTTATCAATAATCAAGAGTGGTCTCCCTTTGTTTTCTTACTCTCCTCTTTGAGAGAGCTATTTTTGTTTACTGGGACTTATACAAGGACACTATACGCGAAACTTTTATTCCCAGCTGAATAAATCTTTCTTAAATCCTACACTTGTACTTCATACGAAATAAATGCTTTTTTCGGATGTAAATCAGATAAAGTTCAAGAACAAAAAAATGAATTTTTATTAGTTGCTCGTACTGTATTTTCTTTTTAATTTTAAATTTTTTAAAATTTTTTAATTTTATAATTATTAACAAATTTTTTTTTATCAACACTTTCCATAAACTAACCATGAACATAAAACTAAATTATATATAAATTTATTAAAAGTCAAGTTTTCTTTCGTTTGTTCATTACTACGGTAGTAGCATCAGCAGCAGCATCCGCTTAGGTTAGACTTGTTACCTCCCTTTGATAATTTTCACTACATCATAAAATAAAAGAATTTCAATATATGCTAGCCGAAAAAATGAATGAGTAGGGCAGGGTTTCCTAACCTGGGTGATATCACCCACCGGTGGCCGGTTTCAACTGTTGGTTGGGTAATGAGCAGTTGAACAAAAAATGGTGAGCCATTGGAAATTTTGGTAGGCGATTTTGAGTATTAAAATGTTTTTTCAACATATTCCACACGAAAAAATATCCAAAGAGGATATGTAAAAAAAACAAAAAAACAACCTGTATATAAAAACACAAAAACAAACAAAAAACAAAAACAAAATAAGAGGCTTAATGTGAATAAGAAGGTCAAATGTCAAGATAAGATTTTCCCTGCATACAACGAATATTTTGGTATCTTCTATAGTTTTGAGAATGGTCATTAGCATTCAAATATTTCTTCAGAGGAAATAATATTTTTTCGGATATAAATCAGATAAGGGAAGACCAAGAACAACAGATAAACATTCGCTGAATTTTTATTAGTTGCTAGTTGTGTATATTCTTTTTAATTTTATAATTATGAACAAAAATCGTTTATTTTTTATCAACACATTCAAGGCTAACCCTAACCATAAAACTAAGCATGAGAATAAAACTAAATAATATATAAATTTATTAAAGGTCAAGTTTGCTTTTGTTTGTTCTTTAATACTGTAGTAGTAGCAGCAGCAGCATCCACATAAGCCAGCGTTGTTACCTCCCTTTGATATTTATTACTACATCAAAAAATAAGTTTATGAACCAGTAACAAACTAAATACAGATACAAGTATCCCCGTAAAAGACGAATATATTGTATTTTCTATAGTTTTGAGAAGAGCCATTAGCTTTCAAATACTTCTTTAGAGGAAATAACATTTTCGGATATAAATCAGATAAGGAAGACCAAGAACAACAAAGAATATTCACAGAATAATATATATATATATATATATATATATATATATATATATATATATATATATATATATATTATGGTCAATATATTTTCAATAATATATATATATATATATATATATATATATATATATATATATATATTTTAATGGTCTCTCGCTATTATTAGGGTTTCCTAATATGAACCAGTAACAAATGTTTACGAAATAAATGTTGGTATACTTTTGAATATTTACGATGCAGGTGGACGAGGGAGAATCTTTTTTCATGTGAAAGTGGGTGATGACGCATAAAAGGTTGAGAACCTTTGATCTACGTCAACTGGAATTGGAACTCGGCTCACTCATCAACCATTAACAAGCCCGTATCCGTTATACCACCCACACATCCAAGCTTAGC